GCGCAGGCGGTTGGAGGCCAGGTTGAGGAAGAGCAGGCGGCCCAGGCCGCGGAAGGCACCCTCGGCCACCAGCTCCACCTGGCAGTGCCGCAGGTCCAGGTGCGTCAGGTAAGGCAGGTCCTGGAAGGCGGCCGGGCCGAGCACCTTCAGCAGGTTGCCCTGGAGGTCCAGCCGCTGGGTCAGCTGAGGGGGAGGGGAGAGGAGCCTGAGCACCACAAGGACCAGTGCGGCCTGTGCCCCTGGACACGTCTCCTCCCCCTCCCCTCTCTCTCATTCTCCTCCTCCTGCCCCCTGACACCTCCTCCAGGGAGCCTTTCTCCCCAGGCGCCTGGGCCTCCCCAGCTCTGGCACTTTTTGCATTGAATTATCACTGCCTGTTTACTTTCTTTTTTAAATATTTTTATTGATTTCAGAGAAGAAGGGCGCGCGCGAGAGAGAGAACATCAATGATGAGAGTTATCGATTGAGAGAGAGAGAGAGAGAGAGAACATCAATGATGAGAATTATCGATTGGCTGCCTACTGCACGCCCCACACTGGGAATCGAGCCTGCAACCCAGGAATCGAACCGTGACCTCCTGGTTCATAGGTCGACGCTCAACCACTGAGCCACACCGGCTGGGCATGCCCATTTACTTTTGTCCCCACTAGTCCTTGTGTCTCTAGAGCAGACACCATATCTTCCTCCAATATATCTCCTGTTTTCTGCCACAGGGTCTGTAATTAATTCAATATTTATAGGTCAACTACTTATGCCAATCACAGAGGATTTTAAATAGCTTGTCTTCTTGTTGTTGCTTATTATCATTCCCATTTTACAGATGTGAAGACTGAGGTTCAGAAAGGAAAAGTGACTTTCCAAGGTCTCCTCCCAGCCAGGCAGTGGCAGGTCCTCTCATGCCAGCCAGAGTCCTCCTGCCATCCTCTCCGACCCCCTCACCCTGCTGACCTCAGGGATGGCGTTGGGCACCTCAGTGAGGTTCTGGTGCCGGCAGGCCACATGCCGCCTGGAGTTGTCACAGACGCAGGTCTGTGGGCAGCGCTGGGCAGCTGTGTGCCCAGTTGGGCCCAGGGGCAGCAGCAGAAAAAGCAGCAGGACCGAGGAGATGCTTTGGGGACTGGGAGAGAGAAGGAGAGCCCGTTGTTCACAGGGGCCAGGGTCCCACATTGTCCACTCACGGAGCCCAGGCTCTGGTCCTTTGGCCCCAGGGAAGGTGTCATCTCCCCCCTCCCCCACGCAGCAGAGGTTCTGTTGTTAGCCCTGCTTTACACTGGAGGAAACTGAGGCTCAGAGAGGTGACCTGGCACCTGCCTTTGGCTGTCAGCCCTGTGCGCACGGAGGCCTTGCTAAATCCCAGAATGCCTCTGGGTTCAGTCTGTGCAGCTGTAGGGAGGCTCCCAGTCCAGGGAGGCCCGGACCTCCCAGCCGAGGTGGGAGTGTAGGGAGAAGCAGCCCCCATGGTGGCAGGGAGCATAATGACACTCACCTCAAGAAGACAGGCTGCCAGCCAGAGGGGAGGGCTTAGGTCCAGCCCAGGTTGTGGGGTAAGACTTGGGGGACCAGGAATTATGGGGTCCGAGAGCCTTGAGGAGCCTTAATGGCTGGTCAGAGCCACCTGACAGGTGAGCCAGTGGCTCAGCCCTCTCCTCCTGTTTATTCCCTGTTGTCCTCTCATTTTAGTGTCACTAGCTGGCCAGGACTGGGAAGGGAAACTGAGGGTCTGGGATTAGGGCAGAGCTTTGGGCAAGGCCTGTCCACTGACCTGTCCCCCATCTGTCCCTCCACCCCCACCCCCACTCCTCCGTCACCCACTGGGACCTCTTCATGTCACAACGTCAGCCACTGCCTATTGCTTCCTGGGGACAGTCACTGCCACAGTGTGTCTCCTGCCTCCGCAACGCTCCGCTCACCACCAAAGGGAACTTTCCAAAGTACAGATGGGCCCTGACAGCCCCGCTGAAAGCCCTCAGCACCTCCCAGCTGCCTGTGATGGCAAGTCCCGCTCCTGGTTCCAGTGGGAATCTGCTCAGACATTTGAGGTTCAGCGTGTGGCTCCCCCACCCTAAGCCCAGAGCTCCCCCCTCACCTGCAACACCTTACGCACCGGCTCTTCCTTCTGTTTACAGCGCTGTCAGGGCCCCTAGCAGCCTGTCCTGATCCCTGGACTCCGTTCCACCCTGGGCCTCCCTCATTTCCACTCACTGCTTTGTCACCATCTGTTTTTCACTCTCCTTGGGGTCTCAGGGCTCAGCCCTGGCCTTGGGGCTGGTGGCATCCCCCAGTCTGTGGCGAGGCTGAGGCTCAGGGTGGACCAGGGAGGGGGGCCTGGAGGAGGGGACAGACCCCTGAGGGACAAGCCCCCAGTGACTAGCCCACATTCCCACTCGGTCTCCTTGGAACCCATTTCAAGGCGACCCTTCGAGTCTCTGCCCAGGCAGATCCCAGAGGCTGGAGAGGGGCGGGGTGGG